ATAGTTTGGAGTCTTGGCTGCTAAAGTAGTTAAGTACCTCTGCTTGCCACAACCAACAATACAGGCTAATAGGAAGCTTTACTACAGAATACTTTCTACAACTTTAAAATAATAATTTTTTTATTATTTGAGAATTTCAAATATGTATATAGTGTGTTTTGATCAAATCAGATCCCTTTCCTTTCCAACTCCTCCCCTTCCCACTTTTCTTTCCCAAATTTATATGCAAAGTCACATAGTTTATTCAGTGTTGCCTGTAATGTACATGGATGTAGGGCTATCTGTTGGAGCATGGGTAGCCTCTCAAGGGCTTCTGCCCTGCCCCATCATACCCTCTCTGCCCACCCCCCCCCACCCCCAAAAAACCAAAAATGCTGACTTTCCCTTGCCCAGCAGCAATAGCTTCTCAGCTGGGGGTAAGAATTCCTTAACTGCCCCTCCCCCATGCTGGTCTATGGCTGGTCTGATCTTGTGCAGGTCTTGTGACCTTTCCACAGCTTTGATTGCCTCATTTTAGAAACCAAAGAAGTCCTCTAGCAGATCCTTTCTCTTCTAGTTTTTCTGCTTTCCTCTTTCCTTCCTTCAATTTATTAATTAGTCTATAGGCAGCATGACATCATGTATTCCACGCTGGCCTTGAACTTGAAATCTTCCTCCATAATTTTATCTGTCGATCTGTCTGTCTGTCTGTCTGTCTAGCATTTCCTGAACTGCATAGCTGGGCAAATAAAGCCATTCTTTTTTTTTTTTCAAATTTAACTTTTTATTGATTCTTTGTGGATTTCACATCATACATCTAGATCCCACTCACCTCCCAGTCCCTTCCTATCTGCCCTCTACCTGTGCAACTGTCCCTCTATCCAGGATAAAACAAGATAACATTTTTTTTGAGACAGGGTTTCTCTGTGTAGCTTTGGAACCTTTGCTGGATCTCACTCTGTAGCCTAGGTTGGCTTTGAACTCACAGAGATCTGCCTGCCTCTGCCTCCTGAGTGCTGGGATTAAAGGCATGTGAAACTACCACTAGGCACAAGATAACATTTAAAAGAAAAGGAAAAGAAAAATCTCATCATGGAAGCTGTAGTGTGACACAGTGAGTCACACAGTCTTTTAGTTCATATATTTTTACTTGCAAGTATTCATTACATTGAATCATTGGTCTGGCTTGAGGTCTCTGGTTTTTGCTTTTGCTACATCATTGATACTGAGCCCTCACTGTGGCTCCTCTTCAATATTCTGTTGTTTATCTATGTCATGGAGATCCTATAACTTTGAGTCTGCAGGACCAGCCCCTTCACATGCTCCAGTAGACCATAGATGGGGTGGATGATGGGATGGACCAACTCATAGCTCTGCTTCTGGTTATGGGTGTTTGCTGGGCTGGTCACCCCACCAGGTCTCCTTCATCCTCAATGACAGAGCGAGCTCTCCAGTACTGCCCCAGCTAGCTCATCCAATGTAGTAAGCAGCAAGGTGTGGGGCTAATTCTCCTGCTCTCATATCCTCGGGGTCAACTCTACTGTTTTGCCCAAGTGAGGTGCAGGGCCCACTCTCCATAATTCTGTATCTGGTGAGGGGCAGAATCAACTCTCTCATCTGCAGCAGGTGACAAAGAGTGAGGGGGAGGGCATCTTTTTCTCTCCCCCACTACCACATGGCAGACAAGGGGTACAGGGACAGCTCTCACACTCTCACAACCTCAGGGCAGGCTCACCTGCACCCCCAAGAGCAGGGTCGGCACCTCTGAGTTGCCCAGGTGAGGTGCAGGGCCTGCTTTCCTGAGTGTTGCAGCTGGTGAGATGCTGGGCCAGCTCACTGGTTCTCTTGACCTCAGGGCCAGCTCTCCCACATGCCACAGGTGGTGATAGGTGGGGGAGGGGAGAACATCTCCCCCTTGTTCACAGCACCACATAGCAGATGAGGGGCTGGGCCAGATCTCCCATGCTCATGTTCCAAGGCCAGCTCGCCCACATCCTTCTCAGCAGGGTCAGCTCCACTGAGCTGTCTAGGTGAGGTGCGGGGCCTGCTCCCCCTCGTGCTACAGCTGGTGAGGTACAGGTGAGCTCTCCCACCTGCCACAGGGGCGTGGTGGGGCATCTTCCCTCAATGTCAGCACCACATGAAAGCCATTCCTTTCAAACACTAGTTTACAGCCATCACTCTGGTTCTCACAATGCTGTGTTGACGCTTTATACAATTGACAAATTACCACAACTTTAAAAGCTATGCCAAAATCTCTGCATTTGTGAGTCAAACATGGATAGCTAAACTGGGGATTTTGAGTGAGAGCATATTTTCAGTCTGAGGGGAAAAAGGGGTATTCTTCTTTGCCTTTCTTGTCCGGGAGGGTAGAGTACATTAATGATAAAACATTATGATAATTAGGCCATGTTTAATAATTAAAAATTTATAAATATGGGAAAATATAAAAGCCAGTTCATCAAACAAAAATGGAACATGGCACTTCATCTTTTGTTTGTTTGTTTGTTTTGTTTTGTTTGTTTGTGTAACAGCCCTAGCTGTCCTAGAACTCACTCTGTAGACCAGGTGGACTTGAACTCACAGAGATTTGACTGCCTCTGCCTTTTGGGGTCCTGGGATTAAGGGCGTGCATTACCACCGCTCGTCAGCACTTCATCTTAAAATATGACTTTATGCCTTTGTTTTCCTTTAAATTTATTACATTGAAGTCAGGTTTGGACATCACATTGCAATATTTGTTCCAAATGGCAAAACTCACATGCTAACAAGCATGTTTAAAGAAAGTCTCTCGAGTAACTGCAGCTCCAGTTATAATGATAGTTAAAAATTGTTAAAACATAACAAAGTCTCATTAATGAGAAAAACCACACTTTGTTCAGCAGGATGCTGAGAGAAAAGTGAGAGATACTTCAGTTATGCATATTTTCACTTTGTAGTTATCCAAGGAACTACATCAAAGTCATAGGTCATATGCTGACTTTCCTTGGCATTCTCTCATCTCAGTCCCACCTGACCTCAATCCTTTCGGAGTATATGAGTATTTTTAGGTAAAATTGTAGAAAACTAAATGAAAGGAAATGATAAAGCTGGACCAGTGTAGGTTTTTAGGGTAATAGGACTGTTATTGTTTTGTTATTTTTTAATTAATTTATTTTTTATGTGTGTGAGTGTTTAGCCTGCATTTACATCTGTGTAGCAGCTGTGTCTCTAGTGTCCACAGACGCTGGAAGAGGATGTTGCTTCCCCTGGCACTGGTGTTAGAGAAAGTTGTGAGCCGCCACATGTGTGCTGGGAATTGAAATCTGGTCCTTTGGAAGAGCAGCCAGTGCTTTTATTGCTGGGTAAACTCTCACCCCTCATTTTATTATTTTTAATACATTATCATTTTTTATGGAAGAAAGGTTTTTTTGGCTTTCTTGATATTACTGTAAAATTCTTTTGTATAATTGAGTTGCTACACATATTGCCTCTCTCTTATTTAACTGTCCTTGACTACTAGAAATTTATTATACATAGTACCAGAAGTAATAATAGCAATTGCCACTGACCGAAGATTATAATGTGACACACTAAGAATATTCACACACATGTGTGTGCACTCACACACACACACACGTACACACACACACACGTACACACAGACGAAGTTATTCCTCATAGTTACAGGAGGGAGCACAGGAGGAGCTCTGGATCCTCATGTGACAACTCATGGCTTCTATGACAATGCTGAAATTCAAAGCCAGGTTCTTAAGGTCTCCAGTCAGTGCTTTCCACAGTCACTGCAATTCCCTATCACACTGACAGTTCTCAAAGATAGGATGAAAATGATATAAGGACAACACCTTGGCTTTTTAACCTTCCAAGTGATAATCAAAAAATTCTATTCATTACAAACAGTTTCCAAACAAATTCTCCTATAAATTAAATGCAAACAATCACCACCCTGATAACGCTTTCTGAGCTTCCTAAGATAACAGGCTAGGAGGTTACGAATAGAGAGAATGATAATGTGAGCTCTAAACTGACACAATCTCTTTGAAACACAACTAATTTTATATCTCAGTTAAGAAACTCAGATTGTATCCACAGTCAGAGAACTAGCCTCCACAAGAAAGCCACCACAGTGTCTCTGTTCCTAGGCTGCTAATGCTAGGGTTGAAGATAAATATTTACATCTTTAAAAAAAGAAACAGTCTCTTTTGGGTCACAGCTTTCCAGGATTAATAAACTGTCATATTTTAATAACACAGACAAACAAATGCTGTAACATTAATAATATAGCTGAGGCTAAAATCCTTATCATCCTATTAGTACAGATGGTATATGAGTCTCTTCTATGAAAAAACACTTTAATTGATAATGCAGTGGGTGATGTGCAAAAAAAATTCTTTGAGCTCTGTCGTGAGAGGTAGTCTTGGTTGGTAAGATAGTGATACAGCAATAAATCAGAAAAGTTCCCTACTACTAGAACCAAAGACAAGTGTTTGTGTAATTACTCACATATTCGTGTCAGCTGATTTTGCCTTCTAATGATTTTGTGATACAGAAAACATAAATTATGGAAACATTTCAGTATCAAGCAAGGGAAGAACAGATCAGACACACATTATATTTAAAATGAGATTCACATACAGGACTAGCCCATAAATTCACTTAAAAACACTTGCAATATCTTCATTTGTGATAGGAAGTCAGGAGAACCTAAGCTGTGATTATCACATAAGGAGCTAAATGAGATTCAGTACACAGAATACAAGTGAAAATTGTAGTTATATTTAATTTTAGGATAAAATTTCCTTATCCTTCCTTTGAATAATTTCTAATTTTCTATGTCCTATTGCACATTGGTCAGACTGTTTGCTGAGGCCTAATTCAACAGACAACCCCTGGTAGAAAAATAATAGTTACAGCCAAGCAGTAGTACTGGCCAAGAAGTGTTGGTATTCGTACTTAAAAACACACAGAATACGACTTTAGGCATAACAGCGTAGTTGACACTGAAGGAGAATCAACTCTACCTTGCATTCTGGACAACCATGACTTGACTGCATTGATTCCAGAAGCCAGAGGAAAGGGTACAGCAGGAGAGAGGGGAAGACAGGAAGAAAAAAGTTAGGAGCAGAAATAGACAGGAGCATGGGAATAGCAATCACAGAAGCAATGCACAGCATGAAACTGGCTTGAGACAGATGATAACCTAGAACTACAGTGAAACAGCTCTCACATGTCTAGCAATACCAATTACTCGGCCACTCAGCAACTAGTGATACTTTAACGACAGACTAGGAATTGAACAGGTTAGCCACACTGGAGCTGAATCCCACTTCGTGAGTGACGGCTGGAAGAACTATGGGGGGAGGGTACTAGGTGTGTATTTTTTGTCTATTTCACTCTACTTGTTATGCTTCCCAGCTAAGTATTACACAGCTGTCCTGATTTCCACCTCAGTCACGCCATGCATAAATATTAGTGTTCTTGTGTAGTATAAAAAATGACCCCAAGGGCCACCATCAGGGAAGACAGAAAATGAGTGACAGTACTTTCCCTCCACTTAAAATACTTAGAGACAAATCCCTCAGAGTAATTTCCCATAACTTCCTAATTTCTTTAAAGAACACAAAAATTCTCATGACCAAAATCAAAGTTTTTATTGTTTGTTATTTTTGTCAAACTCCCTTTAAAAGATGGGGCCAACTTGTATACACAACTATATAAACTCGATAATTAATTAAAATAAAAGATTCTCTTTCCTGGGTTATGTGACTATTTTATTGATTGTTCATAAAAATTACTGAGGATTTCAAAAATCCTTAAGAAAATAATATTAGACAAACCACACCAACAATTCTAACTTTCTAAAAGGAATTCTTGGGGTAGGTGTATGGAATCAGAGCAGGTATACTGTTTGTGATTTATTCTCTCTGCATTATCTGATTTCCTTCCATTGACAAATTAAAAATTATGATTGTGCTCTCTTAATATTGACAAGGAAAGTGAGTATCAAAGAACGAGGGATCTGCCTGCGGTGACTCCGGAAGAAAACAGCAGATTCACAGCAGCACCTAAGTAACTCTACTATGGCTCCTTTTCAGACAAACCAGTCAGGGGCGGAACACACACTTGTGCAGTTTGGCTGCTTTTAAGTCTGTTGAGGCTTTGCAGCACGTAATGTAATTCTGCAGAATGTTTGGCATGTACTTAAAAGCATTTGTAGTTGATGGTAGTGTGTTCTAAAAACACCAGTGAGGTCCTCAAGCCAACTAAAAATATTATGAAAGATATTATTGATGAAATGAATAAATTATTTGTGAATTTTAAATGAGTTATTATTTAAAGATATATACTAAAATATTCACAAAAACAGTTAATTGCTGGGATTTTTTTCAAAATGATCTGGATGTAGAAAGCGTATAAGAGTAAGTGTAAAATCTAACTGGCTAGTAAGCAAAAGCTTTTGAAAATAAAGGATAATCAGCAACCAGACTACTCCCTCTGCTTCTGTACTATACTTAAAAATTTCCAAGCAAAAATCAATACTCAAAAATTTACTCCAAATTCAAGAGAAATGAAACCAATGTTGCCATCAGCTGAGGAAGTTTTTCAATACATCTCCATTTGTTGACTGTTCATGGTTCCACAACATTACCTTGGCTATTATAAATATCTTAGATAAGGTACAATGATTTGTGGAGGTCAAATCTCTGTTCTAAACCATTCTCAAGTACTTGTTCATATACTAGAACATTGCTATTAGCATCAATTATGTGATTAATTTTATGAATCATCAAAGAGCACATCTTTTACTTAGTATTTTTATTTGGTGCTGGGGACTGAAGTACTCAGGTATGTTAAACACATACCTTGTCATGGAGTTAGACCCCAAGCCCACAGCACTTACTTTATATCATCAATGTACAGATCCCAGAAAAGATTCAATGTAAGTTACTCCTTGAAATCCACCACAATTTCTTAAATGCTTTTAGAATTAATCTGACCACACAGCACAAGAGTGGTTCCCACAATCAAAACACTGCTTACTCCCAGGGAGACGGACTTTATTCTGACTACTGCTCTCTCAGACTTCGTTTAAAATTTTAATTCAACCGTGTCTACTAATTAGAAATAAACATGAGAGCAAAAGCAGACAGGACAGGGTAAGAGGAGCAGTCCAGGTTAGGCTTGGAAATTGAAGAGTGGAAGATGTTCTTAGGATTGTTTAGACTGTGGACCCTGATACTCAGAAGACAATGCCTCTTTACTTACCCTCGCCCCGGAAGTAGGTACACCTTAACAAAAGGGTCAGAGTAGCCATTGTTGTCTCTAGGGACAAGATTTCTTGCTTGAAGAATATGTATTATAAGATTTCCAAGATCATAGTTGATTTGAAGCTTTAGGAGGTAGAAATAATTCCATGAAAAAAAAAAAAAACATGTGAAACAGTATCATTTCATACTTGACTAGTTCTTTCAACACTTTATAAGAAGTTACCTACTTCATCTCAATTTTACTTGAAACTAAACAGTTAGTGCCCAGTTTATCCAAAAACTCACAGGCATGTCTGGATTTCTAATAAATATAATGTTCATGTTTCCAAGACTCTGCACAGAGAAGAGTCTTGGCCTACTTAAAGTTCATTTAGAAGGAAAACAATACAGTAAATTTTTGTTATATTTTCATAATGAAAATTTATTCATAGCAAAATAATATGCCCCACTTATATTCATTATTGCAATTACTAGGGTTTTGAAAATTATTTGTAAATGTATATAAAATGGCATTTACATTTCATCAATGAATGGTCAGAAGGAAGCTTATATGGAGAAGAATCTATTAATATTGAGATAAAAAAATTAAAAAAAAAGAATAGATTTCATTTTTCCTAAGTTCTCTGAGATTGAGCCTGTAGTTTTTCTTTCTGAATAACTACTTATAAAGTAGGAGACTGGGATGATATTAACTTACTCTTTTGCTTTAAAAGTTGAAGAAGAAAGATGAATCATATCTTTAAGATGCTTATTAGATACATTGCCATCGAAGAACAAGATTTATAAATCAGATAATTATTTGAGGAACTGTCATAATCTAAAATGATTGAGCTTAATAGTTTTCTCTTTTACCATCGAAGGATTCTTTTGTAATTATTTAGATTAAGTCTTAATTTCCTTTACGTTTTCCAAGTAGTAGAAATGAAAAGAACTGTATTTAAAGTGTGAACTTACGTGTAAAAATACTGACTTTTTAAAATACTTCATAGAAAACATATACATAGTGTTTATATTGGATCAAATCTTGACTTTAAAGTTTCACAATTAATATACAACTATCATTTTGGCACAATTTTGATTTGTGTATGTTTTTCAATAGAAAACAAGTCTTTAATTGCATGATTCCACAGGGAAAAGCCTAGGTATCTCTGACAACCATGAAAAATGTGTGAATCGACAAAGTCATCTGTCCTAAGGGGAAAACAAAGACAGGGATTTTGGAACTGCATGCTATGACAGGACACAGGAACACAGAGGTAAATAATTCACATTTAGCTTTCTCTGAAGTTCATTTTCAATTGACACTGAACTTCATCTATTTCTCACTGACATGGAAACCTGAAGGCCACCTTGAGACACTACTTTTCAAAATTTTCCTCATTCATTCCTAAAGACCTCCAAGGAGCTCAGGGGTCAGACCAGTGTGAGCATGGGAGACCTGGGCCATGCTCATACACAGGGGCTCCAGCACCCGCATCTTTATGGTTATAATTCTGTGTGTGCCATGGGAATAAGACTTTGCCATACAAGAGGAAATAATTGAAACACCAGCTTTCAGGATATTCTAACTCAGAGGTTTGCTGTGGGATGTTCTGCATGTCAAATTACTCTGATTGGTCAATAAATAAAACACTGATTGGCCAGTAGCCAGGCAGGAAGTATAGGCGGGACTAACAGGGAGGAGAAAAGAAAGAACAGGAAGGTGGAAGGAGTCACTGCCGGCCACCACCATGACAAGCAGCATGTGAAGACTCCGGTAAGCCACGAGCCACGTGGCAAGGTATAGATTTATGGAAATGGATTAATTTAAGCTATAAGAACAGTTAGCAAGAAGCCGGCCACGGCCATACAGTTTGTAAGCAATGTAAGTCTCTGTGTTTACTTGGTTGGATCTGAGCGGCTGTGGGACTGGCGGGTGACAGAGATTTGTCCTGACTGTGGGCAAGGCAGGAAAACTC